ACCCTGATGAATTGGTTAAAAGAAATGGTTTGACTCATTGACTCATTTCATATCATATATATATATATATGGTATGAAATGAGGCAATGAGTCAAACCATTTCTTTTAACCAATTCATCAGGGTGAGATGTAACGTCTTGCATAGAGAATTTGGTTGATAACAACAAAATCCGTTATAAGCACCTGTTTACTTCATTGGCTGTTCCGTTAAGGAATCTGAATCTGATCAATGCCAGTACAGATGTCAAGAACCTGCCGACGGTTTACAGGCATGTAGTTGGCCGAAAGTTCTTAGGCTCGGTCGCAATTATTAGTTCACGTAACATGTACGTTATTCCTTCAGCTATGAAGGTGGGCTTGATATTTGAATCCTGCAATTTTGCCTGAAATTGCGATGCCACTACACTGTGCGTGCATGAGTAATACTGAATATCACCTAGTCAGGGTGTTTTGTAGTTGAGCATCTTTTTAGCATCATCTAGTACATCCTCAGGTTAGATCGAGATGGATGACGTTACTCTGTCTGATGTTTAGCGCGGAATTCTCTTCTTGCCTGGGTCGGGCCCGCATAGATGTTCCCAGATTTATTCCATTCTCCTTGCATCGCATTTGGATCAGGAGTCTTGGACTTAACCTCTGATAAGAAAAAGAAGTCTGTCAGTTGTTTCTGATCATTTGTTCTGATGCCTTCTTTTCACTACCTCATTATAACGTTTAATCCTGCGGCAGTAGACCGCGATTTTCTGTTTAAGAAACGTTTAATGAGCAATAAGGCGAGGCAGTAGTCAATCCGGGAAATTCGCAATCGCAAGTTTTTACAATCTTTCAACGCTGAGACAACTTTCCTACTTGTACTTCGTTATTTTTCAGTAGATAGTTAAGGTCCGAATCTCGGTACACAGCTGTTTTACATTTTCTTTCAACCGTCCTTTCCAAGACGGATTTGGCTACGTTTTATTTCGGCAATCAAGGTGTGATTTCTCTTCTTTGCTGGTCTGATGTGCAAGCCCAGGATGGCATCAAAAGTAAGTACAACTTTACGGACCATGTTACATCTTCCTTCCAAACGTTGACTTTCTGGCAAGTTTTTTTACCAATCCCTTATCCGCTATATTCACGATTTTCATTCACCTACAGGGCGCCAATTGTTCCATTTTTATTCTGACGGCAATAAAGAAGATTTGGAAATTTTCCGTTAGTTCATGGTGTTTTCTTTCGTTATTGGATCTTTCTCATTAAACCTTCCCACTTCTGCAACTACTTCGTTCCTTATTGCTGTTTCTATCTTCAGACATGCAAGAATGGTCGTTTGGGGAAAGTTCGCTTCTTCCATGGCACTAACGATGTTTATGACCAACGTGATCAGTTTCTTGTTTCATTTGCGGTAAAACATGATTTTTCATATCCGGCATATGGCTTTCTGACAGGAACTTAAGGTTAGAGTTCATTCTGACTTGGCCGGTAGGGCCGCGTCCAGTTAACGTTGCCACTTCTTTGACTCGTGTCAGTTGACAGCTCTTTGATTTATTTGGGGACGGGAGGACGTTCGTGGGGATGTCTTGAAGACTTCCCGAACGTTCCTCCGTAGCAGACTCAGTCCTCGTCGCATCCTCTTGGATTGTTGTTTCCTTCGTGATCACAGCCATAGGTGGTGTGGTGCCACAGGTCATCAGAGTTTTTCTTCCTGAGCCCCCACCGATGTTGTTCCTTAGCGACTCCACTGTGTGCTGTAGGAGACTTGACGGCTCAGACCCAGCGTCCAAATTTTCACCGTGGTCAGTTCATCCTGCACGAAGACCGATGCAGTGTAAGAATTCTTTAATTTCTTTTTCATTCGGTTATACAAAAT